TATGATTCCACTGTTTTTCTCAAATATTTGCAGTATATTTGCTTTAAGCGGCCACATCTGTGCCTTTTATCGTAAAGCAATCACATCCGCCAGAAGGACAGAACTGCTAATGATAGGAAGCACCTGAACATTAGCTGGCCTGTGCCGGGCAAAAAAACCAACTGTCCCACTTACAAGTCTTAGTTCACACCATTGTGTGAATTAAATATCCATACATTAAGCATAGAAGAACAGATTCAGAGAAATAGAATCTACATCTTCAGCTCCACCTCACTTTTCTTTCTTCTCGTCTTTAAATGATGAATGATCTTCCTTTCCCTCTTAACTATACTTTCTTGTAGCTTTTATCTTGGAGCTGTTTTGTAAACCTGTGTTTTCCAATTAGACCTCAGTTTCTAAGAGGAGGAATCATGTGTTCAATCTCTATTTCCACCCTATTCTTGTTGCTCCTTCTAAATCTTCTTCACTGTGCTTGTAATAGAAACATTAATGAATAATAGTATGGATGTGGACGAGAAATGCCATTAAAGGATTAGGACTTGGCTGATTATAGCCACACATGTAGTTTCAACAAATGAGAAAAATGAGTCCAGAGGCAGAGATGATGCCCCTTGTGGTCTCTGGGCAATCTGGATTGTTTCTATTTTGGTCTGGTTCCATTTGCCCAAGATCACTATTCCAGCCACCATGCCCAATTTTCAGGTACCAGAAATGAATAGATGGAAAGAAAATGGATCCTCTGCCCTCTTAAGGATATTTCCTAAAGTTGTATATACCATTTCAGTTTACATTCCATTAGTCAGAATGTAGTCCCTTGGCTGTACCTCACTAAGAAACAGGCTGGGAAATCTAGTATTTAGTCTTAGCATGGACCCAGCTAAGAACGCAATTACTGTCACTCACTGGCTGAAGATTCATCCTACTCTGGCCCTTAGGAGGTTACAGCCTGCCAAGTCTGCAGTATCCTCCTTAGAAAGTCCCCATCCATGGGTATTAGGTATCTTAAATCTATAACCAATCCTTGCTTTGCTGAGTGTTCCCTTCTTATTCCAGGGAGAAAAGCCAAATGTGAACCCTCCCAATTCCAGTGCACAAATGGTCGCTGTATTACGCTGTTGTGGAAATGTGATGGGGATGAAGACTGTGTTGACGGCAGTGATGAAAAGAACTGTGGTAAGTAAAGACTTTGATGATTTATGCATTTTGTTAAAATATGATGTTAATCTGCAAACGTATTGAGATTCTAAAAATAAAATCACTTCTAACAGTTGCTTTGAAAGAGTCTAAAGAATCTGTACTTCTCTGTGTAAAGGAATAAAATTGAATCTTTGACATGGGGTTATCAACTTGAGAATGGAATAAGGTGATGTTCCATTTAAATGACAGGACCTAGTTTATCTTAGATCACACAAACATGTGGAATAGGAATCTGGGAGAAGGAAGAAGAGGACCAGAAATAGAGACAAACAGAGGATTGCTTAGAAAGGACTGTTTTCCCCTTTTGATTTTCAAATGGCTCTGATCCTAGAAAAGAAGGCAAGCCATGGACATGAGAAAATCCCATAAAGTTTCAGGGGGTTAATTAACCCCTGACATAGAAACTACAAGCCAGCACAGATCAAAGATCCGATAAGGATTCTTTTTTAATTCTCTGCCTACAATAGTTGCTAATTCTAAAGCATTAGCAGAGCGGAAGACATTCTCTCCCCAAGAGAATAGGGATACAGTGTCACATCCATCAATCAGCATCTATCAAAAGATCATTGTGAGAAATGCCTATGTATGCAATCTATACAACCTCATGTCAAGCCAAATCAGCTGAGAACTGCATGGCAAGATCACATTTAGATACCATGAATACATGCTGAAGTTTGCTCTAGGATCCTTTCGTTCCATGTTGTAAACATTCTGAAACAATATTCTATGTGAATATTGGTGCTAACATTGTCATTTATCTTTTAAAAGATGTTATATAAAGATGTTCACTATACAAGGTAGAAATACAGAAGAAAAGTAGAGACGAAATGTAGGTCTCAGCAACTGACACCTTGTTATGCCCTTACCTACTTCTTGCATCATTACTAAACGGCTATACATCATGGCAGACCTTGTTCTATACCTGTTCGCTCTGAGCAGTATCACAGGTGTTTTTATGCCAATGTGTAGAGCAGATCAGCAGCTCCTTTGGAAGCATAAGAAAGTCAATTCTACAGTCTCAGGGAAGAAACTTACATCCAGTCGTAGGACCAAGAATAGTTCTCCTGTGCAACACTTTCCCATCATTTGCATTTTAACACTAAGATTTTAATCTATTCCACAAGACATTGAGTCTCATGCTATTTCTGGGTTACCTTGGTAATTTAGTTCCCTCACTAAATATCTCCCTAGAGAGTCCTCACTCTTGTCAACTATTTTCCTGTTGTAAGTTGCAATTTTTTTTCTCTATTCTAAACTATATATTTGGCAAAACCTATTGCTTGTTCTTAAAAAGCAATTATTCTCTTTATATTGCAAAAGTCTTCTTTTACCATCTGACTCAGTAGGAACTAACCTGGGTCAACTTGGGATTTTTCTAAAATAGTCTTGTATAAGTACTCTCTACTAGCCACATGGTAGGAGAGTTTGGAAAAGAAAAGGAGGTAGACATATATCTAATCAAGATCATTTGAGGTAGGAAAAATTGTATTCTTAGCCACAATTAGTCTCTACTTTCCATGTGTGACAGTAGAGAAAGAAAGTGGAAACATTACAATCAGGGAAGTTCTGAGTGCTTACTTTATTTCTCTATGGAAGAGGAAAGCTGTAGAATTACTTAAAACTTCCAAAGCTACCTCCTATTTTTGGTCTAATCTCTTAATATGGAACTTGGTTACAATATTTAGCATGGTTCTTTATTTCCAGTATGTCAGTGGGCATAGTCAACTTTAGATTCTCTAAGCCATGTGCTTCTGTTGGTCCCATTAACTCATTCTTTTAGAGTGTTAGGCTGAGCTAATTAATCAGCAACCTAAATACTCTAAATATGTAATTGCTAATTCTCTTCCTCTGTAGCACATCTAAATTTTTACTTGTCTCTCAAGGCCCAGTTCAAATATCCTTTCTTTACCCTCCCAGTCTATGCTCCAGATGAAGAGAGATAACCCTACAGCAATTTGTCTCTGTTTATCTTTTGCTCAAACACTGTGGTATACAGCCAATCTTTCACATCCTCATTATGTTTTCTAAGACTTAAAATCATGGGGGGCCAGGTGCAGTGGCTCATGCCTATAATCCCAGCACTTTGGGAGGCCGAGGCGGGTGGATCATGAGGTCAGGAGATTGAGACCATCCTGCCTAACACAATGAAACCCTGTCTCTACTAAAAATACAAAAAAAAAAATTAGCCGGGCGTGGTGTAGTCCCAGCCGGGCACCTGTAATCCCAGCTACTCGGGAGGCTGGGGGAGGAGAATGGCGTGAACCTGGGAAGGCAGAGCTTGCAGTGAGCTGAGATCGTGCCACTGCCCTCCAGCCTGGGCGACAGAACGAGACTCCGTCTCAAAAAAAACTGCTAGGAGCAGTGGCTCACGCCTGTAATCCCAGCACTTTGGGAGGCTAAGGCGAACGGATCACGAGGTCAGGAGATTGAGACCATCCTGGCTAACACGGTGAAACCCTGTCTCTACTAAAAATACAAAATATTAGCCAGGCATGGTGGCAGGCACCTGTAGTCCCAGCTACTTGGGAGGCTGAGGCAGGAGAATGGCCTCCACAGGGAGGCAGAGCTTGCAGTGAGCCGAGATCACACCACTGCACTCTAGCCTGGGTGACAGAGCGAGACTCTGTCTCAAAATCAATCAATCAATCAATCAGTCAATCACGGGGTCTCTTTACAGCCATTCCGCTAGTCCCTCTTTTGCAACTTCCAAAGAATATCACAGGTTGAATTACAACAACTAACCCTGCAGACCCTCTGACTTCTTCCTCCATGCTCAGGAGAACATGGGCCTTGAATACCACTTAATTCATTAACACTAGTGTTTGAGTTTTTCAGTGATTTTAGAAACAGTCATGAATCTAAAGCTAGCATGGCTAGTCTTGTTTCCTTGGTTATGTAATTCAAGGAGATAATGCTTTTTAGATCATAATTTGCCAACCCATCTTGAGTTCTAGAAATTAACTGTAATCACTATCTCTCCCCTTTATAATATCTTACACTGAACCAGAGTGGTCCAAGGGCAAACTCTAAACTCTGAGAGTTCTACTTACTTTAAGCCAGTGATTTGGGAAATAGTCCCTTTCAAATGTTCATCAAATTGTGAATTTTTCGCTTATTTATCTTCACAGAATATATGTTATAGAGGAATGTTTTAAAATACAAATTTGGGTAGAAGCTATAAGCATATAGGCAAGAAAGAATATACGGTAAGAAAGATAAGCTTAGGGTATCCTGTGTGGCTACTTTATATCAAGATTCATCCTACTCTGTGATTCCTTCATGGGTAGGGTAATCAAGCTGCCCAATTTGCTTAGGACAGCCCTGGTTTATACTTATCTTCTGGATTAATTAACAGTGTCCCCTTTCTGCTGAGATTGTCCCAATTTGGACAAAAAATTGCATGGTAACCCTAAGTATAGGGGAAAGACCTGCCCCAGCAAGAATTAGCGGCAGAATCAATTCCTTTCCTTAGGCTATTTTAACATTAGCAGTCAGTTATGGATATTAGCACTGACAGCTTCAATGACTTTTAGCTGATTGATGTTAGCCTACCCCTTGACTAGAAAGGCTAAAATCATCTCTCCCTTGAATTCTAAATACAACATCTCTTGTTACACTGATTGAGTTTTCTCCCTTTTCTACCTGATGAGTTCCTTTGCCCCTGTAGACCAGTATTGGTGACAATATTCAGTACTGGGGTTTGGCCTTCATTCTCCACACTAAACACATGTGTTGTTAAGGGATGCCCCTTGAACAGTGTCTTAGTCAGCTCAGACTGCTCTCACAAAAACACCATAGATGGGTGGCTGAAACAACAGAAATTTATTTCTCATAGTTATGGAGGCTGAGAAGTCCAAGATCAAGGTGCCAGCAGATCTGGTATCAGGTGAGAGCTGTCTTTCCGATTTGCAGATGACCATCTTCTCACTGTGTCCTTACATAGTAGATTACAAAGAGAGAGAAAGCAAGTGCTCTGATTTCTTTTTATAAGGGTGTTAATCCCATTCATGGGGACTCCATCCTCATGACTTAATTACCTCCCAGAGGCCCGACTTCCTAATAACATCATATTGGGGGTTAGGATTTCAATACATGAATTTTGGGTGGAAACAAACATTCAGTTCCCAGCAAACAGTTATACTATGATCCAGTCAGAAGAGGGAATGTTTAGCTGTTAAATGTATGAAGTACTTGAATGACTTGGAAGAAATACATATAGAAAATGAAAGTGTTACTTAATCTCAACATTATACAATAGGCAGGAAGTTAAATGTAAGATATCTCCGAGTCATAAGATAATGGGCAACTTCTATCTGACCTTGACTTCAGTTTCCTCCAAGTCTCTCAAATGAGCATCTTCCTTCTCTGAAAAAAAAATAATAATAATAATTTTTCTGAAGTTTCCCCCTGGATATTGGCAATTGAGTGCCCATTGACTCAGCTTTTTTTAGAGCAAAACATGCCAAAATGCAGTATGAGCCCTCATGTGAAGCTAGGGCTGTGGGTAAGTGACTTCAACTTTAACCCTTCAAATAAACGTTTGTAGTAAAGAAGACGTGTGCTGAATCTGACTTCGTGTGCAACAATGGCCAGTGTGTTCCCAACCGATGGAAGTGTGATGGAGATCCTGACTGTGAAGATGGTTCAGATGAAAGTCCAGAACAGTGCCGTGAGTGTAACTTGCTTTGGCCTTGAACTTTCCTAAGTTGTTTGGTGTCTCACGTTTCTAAGTATTGCTTAATCTACTACTTGGTATTCATTTTTCTTTGCCTGCCTTGAAGTTTAGGTCAATTGACTCCAAAGTCAGTCAAATCACTACCAGTTTATCAGCCTCCTTTAAAGAATGTTCTCCCTGGTCCAACAAGACTTACATTCTCTTGGGTAGCTTCACTATTGAATACTTAAAACTGAAGTCAGCAGATTCAGTCAAGAACTCCTTGACTAGGTGCATAGATTTCAAATGTTTGATTATAATGATTCTGAGCAGATGGTACTGTGGTCCTGGAAGCTAAGTCAAGAAGTGAGGGTTCCCTATGGGCCAAGCATAAGCTTTTAGAAGCACAGCTTCTCATACTATTAAAAAGCTATTACTGAAGAGGTAAGGTAGCTAGTAATTGGGTGAATAGTGACTTCTGACACACATGTAACCTAAAGTTACTAAAATGGAGATCTTACAGCTTATTCTTAAATAAGATAAACTTCATAGGTATGCAAGTGTATACCTGTGTCCTTAGGAAACAGTCTGTGAGACCATAAAGAATGATGGTTTGGGATCATATAAATTGAGATCACATGAATGTCAAGGCGAAGAAAATCTTAGAGTTTATTTTGAGTCAGTAGAGGCCTGCACTGGTAGAAGCACTAAAGAAGGACTAACATGAACAAAATTTAGGTCTAAAATGTGATTATGAAAGAAAATCAAATGGAAAGGAAGATAAGGGTGTTACTTTCAATTTTGTAGATAAGTGAGGGGAGTAATATTGGTCAAGACAAGTGAGTTCAAGGCCTGCGAGCTAAAGACAGGTTGTGTAAAGATTCAGCCTCAAGTTTTAGTGGAGAATGACCTCGTCAAGTCAAGTATTAGGGCATGCTTCTACTTTGCAAGATGTCAATTTAAAGAAGGTTGTGAAGGAGGCCTGTAAAGGAATCTAGGCAATAGAAGATTTCCTAGATGTTTGACCATCTGACCTTTCATGCATTTGAGATTAGATGACAATATCTGGGTCTGTCCACTTGATATCCAACAGATAAATAGTGGTCTAGGAGCAGCCCAGCCAGTAAACTTCACCATGCCAAGTAAAACAAAAGCCAGAACTGAGCACGCCACGGGACCTTGAAGGACGTGGTCAAGGCTGTCAGGTACACTGTCAGGTAGCATAGGTTGGCACAGCTTCTAAGGAATGGAGCTGATGAAAGAGCTCCCCAGGCTTCAGCCAGTTAGAATTTCACCAGTTGCCAGGCTACTGAGTCACAGGTATTAGCGCTTCCAGGCAGCACAGGAGCATCAGCTTTGCATTGATCAGTTTTGAGGCTCTTTTGAGACTGTATATCATCAACAGATATGAGAACATGCCGCATAAATGAAATCAGCTGTGCCGCCCATTCTACTCAGTGTATCCCAGTGTCCTGGAGATGTGATGGTGAAAATGATTGTGACAGTGGAGAAGATGAAGAAAACTGTGGTAAGAAGATCAGTGTTGAGTGACGTAACCCAAAGACCCTTTTCCTAAAGGAAGGGTGGGCAGGGGAAACTAACCTAAGCATGAAGAGGCACTGACATTGACTCACTTTTCAGTGACTTCACTATCTGCTCAATTACTCGTCCTTCATAACTGCCCTAAAACCCTAAAAGACATTCACGTGGCAATTGGCCATTGCTTGGTGTTTCTTTTAGGCAAATAGAAATAAGAAGGTAAGTCATTCAAGGCACTTGTATGTAGCAGTAGCTCAGGGAAGCAGCAATTGTGTGGACTTTTGTCTCTGTTGTGACAGTAATTCATGTTCCTTTTGCACTTTGGCACAATAAAATTAGGTGAGTAGGGTTGGCAAACACATTCATAGGTCTAAACTTGATTGGGTTATTGGAATAAATTATTTGAGTATTATACAAACATTTCTTTGCCCCTAAACTAGATTCTGGCATAACTTTTTGGGGGAAAAAAAAAAAGACACAGAAGCATGAATTAACATCTTGCCTCAGATACCCAAAGAAAAGTCTACCCAACTGGTGATACCTTTGTCTCCTGTTGCAGTTCCTGTCTCTGAAAGCTAACTCTGTTTCCTATTCTTTCATGTTTCTGGTCTTGGAAAATCTTTAATAAAATGCTGCATGTTGAAGGTGAAGTCCTGGGAAAATCGCTAGGTTGAACAAACAGTGCTTTGAATGTTCTTTCAAGCTACCGCCCTTTTTATAGGGCCTCTAAAACCTACCCAGGTCTGACAAGCATGGGTCTCCTGATATGGTAGTAGTCAAGGGAGCTCAGGGTACTTACAGTTGAAACACCAGTCTTGTGTATAGAAGTCACCTCCTGAGGTCAATACCATTGCACCTAGTCCAATGAGTTTTAGTGTTCAATCCTAGAATTGAGTTTTCTGTATTGGTAAGCCCTTGTGCTGCCAAGTGTTTCCCTTATAAATCTAGACTTTGCTTCCCAAGAGAGTCGTGGTCTCTATTCTAATTGCCACCAAATTGTGACCTTGAAATGTTTGGCAGGAATTTAAGTCAAAGTACCAATTGGCTAGTAGGACTAGCTTATCATTGTCAGCATACCTGATTGTTAAATGGTGATTACAGCCCTGGCAGTGACTTTTTCAAAATGGAAAGTGTTTAAGACTTGTTATTCCTGATCCTTATTTAAAGGACCGAAAAGAGGAACCATGTATGGTAGTATGTGGTTCACCTCTTTTTGGTGACAGTGTCTTAATGCTTGTTGTATTACGTTGCATGATATTCTCAACTAGTGATGAGATCTGACAAGCTGTATGTTGATTCAAGGACAACTCAATCTCTGCCTTCCAAATTGAAATCCCTTGTTTCAGTTTGTTAGTTATCACAGCCACTTTTAGAGTCAATTGTGGTTCTCATCTCAAATTAATTTCCAGTCTTCAACTATTTTCTTGGTCCTTTATTTCTGTTCTTCTTATTTACAGTGTGCCTTCATTTTTTGTACAGTGAGACTGTGTTCTTGATTTAACTCCGTTGTAGCCTTTAAGTTGGGCTAGTAAGTTACGATTAATGAATAAAGATCAATGTATTAGATTTTGGGACAAGAATCTTGAAAGGACCTATCTTGATGCACTTTCAATGGGGCATCCTCTCTCTTAATAGGCAATATAACATGTAGCCCCAGTGAGTTCACCTGCTCCAGTGGCCGCTGCATCTCCAGGAACTTTGTATGCAATGGCCAGGATGACTGCAGCGATGGCAGTGATGAGCTGGACTGTGCCCCGCCAACCTGTGGCGTCCATGAGTTCCAGTGCAGCACCTCCTCCTGCATCCCCATCAGCTGGGTATGTGACGATGATGCAGACTGCTCCGACCAATCTGATGAGTCCCTGGAGCAGTGTGGCCGCCAGCCAGTTATACACACCAAGTGTCCAGCCAGCGAAATCCAGTGCGGCTCTGGCGAGTGCATCCATAAGAAGTGGCGATGTGATGGGGACCCTGACTGCAAGGACGGCAGTGATGAGGTCAACTGTCGTAAGTAGCTTTCTAGCATGGCATGTTCAGTTCTCTTCCGTGTATCAACTGGGACAATTTGCTAGCTTCATTCCATGGTGTTTCCTCCCTTTGTAGCCTCTCGAACTTGCCGACCTGACCAATTTGAGTGTGAGGATGGCAGCTGCATCCATGGCAGCAGGCAGTGTAATGGCATCCGAGACTGTGTCGATGGTTCCGATGAAGTCAACTGCAAAAATGGTAAGGGTTTCTTCTTGTTGGTTAAGCAATGGATTGCTCTGACCAGACCCACTCATGGAATCTCCCTTCTTTGTTTCTCTTTGTAGTCAATCAGTGCTTGGGCCCTGGAAAATTCAAATGCAGAAGTGGAGAATGCATAGATATCAGCAAAGTATGTAACCAGGAGCAGGACTGCAGGGACTGGAGTGATGAGCCCCTGAAAGAATGTCGTAAGTGTACTTGTTGCTCAAGTACAAACCCTGGAAGTTTGATACAATCCAGCATAGCTAACACTGTAGACCCCATGTGATGGCTGCTTAAACTTTTGAATATACTGAAGTTCAATTGTAGACTTCAGAGTGAAACTTTATGACTTAAAAACCCAGGTAGGACAAACTATAGTGTTTGTTTTTGTTTTTTGTTTTTTGTGTTTTTTGAGACGGAGTTCCACTCTGGTTGCCCAGGCTGGAGTGCGTTGACGCAATCTCGGCTCACTGCAACTTCTGCCTCCCAGGTTCAAGCAATTATCCTGCCTCAGCCTCCCAAGTAGCTGGGACTATAGGCGCCCGCCACCATGCCCGGTTTTTTTTTTTTGTTTTTTTTTGGGTTTTTTTTTTGTATTTTTAGTAAAGACAAGGTTTCCCCGTGTTGGCTAGGCTGGTCTCAAACTCCTGACCTCGTGATCCACCTGCCTCGGCCTTCCAAAGTGCTGGGATTACAGGCATGAGCCACCGTGCCTAGCCCAAACTAGTTTATAGTTTAACCTCCTTAAAGATAACTGATCATCAATAGAGAAACTTGACTAAATGCTGCTTGACCAACTGGTAACTTGCCAAGGAGATAGATAATCCATCCTGAAATATATACCTATAAAATAAATGATTAGGTCTTAGACAAATCATGGGTTTGACCAGGCCAACTAGATAAGTTATCAAATAGCTTGGGTTTTAAATGTGAAAGACAGGTA